TTAACTCAGCCAAACTGAATGACCTCAAGGGCTTTGCAAAGAGGAGCAACCTTGGTGATGTCAATCACCTCAAGTTTGTTGTCAATAGGGCATTGGACCGGGCGGTATTTTTCTGTCGAACAACCGACGCTCTGGAATCCGCTGGGCTGTTGCTATGGTTGACATACAGAAGTGGGAGGCCCCAACACTGCTGTACTGCGACATCCTGGGATGGAACATGCCAGGTCTCAGGATGGAAATAAACCCCTATCTTCACTTCCTTGGGTGTAGGGCACTACATCCAATGAGTCTGTTGTTAGCTCACCATCCATGCAACGGCAGGCATGTATGTTTTACGATGTGCCTGAACTATCCGCTTCAAACTTGTGGAGATGTGTGTGGTGTTGTCGCCGTCATTGCTGACAGCAGTGAGAAGTTGTTCCAGCTGGTGACAGCCCCCTCCAGCATGGTTCCTGTCATGAACTCCCCACCAAATTCCAGGGAGGTTTCAGGGAGAAATTTTTTTAATTCAAGGAGATTCGGTCAAGAAATTCATGGCAAAAGCCTATTTCTGAAAGGCCCACACTTGTCCAAAATGAATCGTAGTTTCGATTTTCCTACAAAAATTTTGTTTATGTCCGATCCGGCGAAATTCAAGAAGATTTCAAGGACATTTTCCCTTGAATGCAAATTCAAAGAGTTTTCAAGGACTCTGAATTCAAGGAGGCAGCAGGAACCCTGTCCCAGTCTTTGAAAACTTACCTGCACAATCCGACACAGTATGCTTGCTATTTCAGGCGTATACTCATGTGCTGGTACGCTACGCAGGATGTCCAAAATCCAGTTCTTGCTGCCGTTATCTAAGGTCCAAATAATAATAATAATTGCATTTATATAGCGCATATCCATGCTCAAGAGCTTGCTCTATGCGCTTTACAACTATTAGGTAACACAAAGAACAGGGATGCCAGACAGGACAGAAACGGCAGAGTGAAGACAAGTTTGGCAAAAACTGGACCTGTGATTGTGGAAAGGTCGTAGGGTCGGGCCTAATGATGTGTCTGAGAAAGAGAGCAGGGAGAGGGGAGAGATAGAGGGGACTGTGTGTGTGTGTGTGTGTGTGTGTGTGTGCGCGCGCGCGTGTGTGCATATTTTGTGTACAAATGCTTGACTTTCATTTTATCTGAAAGTACTTGCTATTGCAGTTGAAGTTGACTTAAGGATTTGCTGGTGTGATATGAATTTTCAGCTGTATCAATGTGAATTTTTTAATAGAAAAGTGCATAACTAATATGCTATTGTTTTCTTTACTAAAACGACGAAGCCCAAGTACAAGTTTAACGAGCGCTTTGTTTCTAAAATTTGGTCAATCCAATAGAAGTCAGTCAAACAAATAGATCTGATCTAGATTGAAACTGAAGGAGAGCCATGAAACATTACTTTTCACCCTTTTGTCAGATTTTTTCCCAAAGAAAACAAAGTAAGCCTCCAAGAAATGTGCTGCAGTTGCCCCTGAAAAAGCAACAAAACAAAAAAGAAACCCCTCAAACTTTCAGAAAAATTTAATTTTTTTGTTGAAAATCGAACATCAAAGATAAAAAGTACAGCAATTGAAAAGTTACTCATTAACTATTTCATACAATTCTGTGAAGTTTCAAGTGTCTCCTTCAACAAAAAAGAGAGTTATAGACATTTTAGCGATGGTAGTAGTGATATTATACC